ATACAGATACAGTTTTTATTTTTTGGATACCTGATGACGTTTAAATCTTTGCTTTTATATTTCAATGGCGTCTTGGTATTCTGAATACTCGTCTAATTTTGAGTACTAAATTAATTGCGCATCGAATATGATAATAAATGCGAGTGACTGGTCCCGCCAAACTCCGAAAGGTGGGTACAGTGGCTTGCTTAGACAAGATTATTTAGGGGCGTTTTCAGTTCAAGCATCTGCTGGAAATCAAGTTCGCCCTTGCGAGCCCGCCGATCGGCATCTCGTCGACCCCGCGCGGTGCGCCAAATCGATATCGAAACATAATGAAAAGGAAAGAGGAACGGGCTGCGAGAGCGGGGTCGGAGGGCCGCGGTCCATCCCGTCTTAAAAGGAGCCTCCTCAAGGGGCCCGGTCGCGAATCTCGTCGGCAACCCCCTTCGAAATTTGTTATTTGACGTTTTTTTTTTAGGGTGGCTTTCTTCTGGTTCGCCCCACACGGTCCGATTCCGGCGAAATTTTAGGGCAACGACTGCACGGCAGCTGTCCAGACGTGTCGGCGCGATTCAGTTTTAAATTCGATTGTAGAACTCGAGAAATTTAATCGCATGCCCGAGATCACAACGCGCGCTCCGACATTTCCCATTGAGGGAAACGTGTCCCTTTGCGCGTTGACTTCAATTCTAATGACGAGGCGAGGAATTCACAGATCTCACCGACGATTCGTAAACCCCCCGAGACCGAGCTGAGGGATAGCTCTCTCTCTCCGGTCCGAAAGACCACACGCGACGCGAGTACAATAATACACGATCTATTTATGTAAGGGACCCCCGGGGCGCGCAAGTGATGTATAGCTAATGAGAATTCAGGCAGTTTTAAAAATGTTTTAATGTTAAAAGAGGAAAAGCTTCTAATCAATTTACCGTCTTTGACGATTACGATTGCAAAAACGTATCGAACGACCTCGACAAATATCGTGAAAGTAATCATCAAAGATAGGCGATTAGGGATTAGTTAAAATTAATTAATAACAGAGATGAAAACCTAGATACAATAATTTTATAAACACATTTCTTAATTTAAAAATTAAGGACAAAATAAAAGTTGCAAAAGATTTTCAATCGAGAAACATTAAATTTTTTATACACTTCGACGATTGTAAGCTACGTAAGTCTATATTATTGCGAATCGATCGGTTTACTTCGGAAAGAGGAAACCGTATTATTATCGTAAGTATCGCGGTATCAATAGCTATTTCCGTCTCGTGGCCAATGACTTCGATACACGCCACGTGGGGAATCCACAGAAAGAGTCGGAAGACGGAAGATCTCAGAAATCGTCTCCTTTCCTCTCTCCCATCTATCCCGAACAGCCATTCATGTCTCTGCGTGTTTGCGTGGAGCTAACATCCTTCCTTTTCCATTCGTTGATTTCGTATATAGCGGAGTCTATGCTAATATCTGACCTCCCAATGGTACTCGGCATGCAAACTTAATGACCTCTCCAAGATCTCGGCTAAGTGTGAAATCGTTAGGGTCCACCTTTACGGCAACCTTGCTGTTGCTAAGCAAAAGACCTCCCATTGTTCCCTTTAATTTTTCGAACCTTCAACCAACGAGACATTCGGCAATCACATAGAAGGCAGTCGCTCGAGCTCATAAAATTTAAAACTTTATTAAAAAAAAAACTTTCTCCATAGAATTTGTCCTATCCCCGAACTTCTTTTGAGGATTAATAAAATAAAAGCGGAACATAAAAGTAGGCAAATGAATAATATATGGATATTTAAGAAAATGCGAGAAAAATGCAGGATAAAATAAAATATATTTTACAGCATAAATAATTTTTAAATTTATATATACAATTTATATAAAAAATACTAGTCTTATGTTAGATCTATATTCGAAGAGATCCGAATGACGGGCAGAGCCGAACACAAAGCGTTCTTATTCAATATGAATTTATAAGCAATAACTCTCAGGCAAATACAAAAAAAAAAAAAACCCGCGGGAAAGTGGACATCGCAAAGTGTCTAATCAAAACGAAAGTGATGGATACTTCTCGCAAGGAATATTCTTCTCGACGAAAGGAACGGAACCGGGCCCCAGGGTCGGACCCAGAGAGCGAAGAGGTACAAAATAAACGATGCACAAATTCCCAGCGCAAAATTGACCTGGAACCGGGTTTAAATCTCCTTAGTCAACCTAGTCTCCCCCTGTCTCTCCCGCTCCCCCTTTTGTCTTGCCGAGACTGTATAAACCTGCGAGGACGACCGGCCCGAAAAGACGAATAGTCGCCTCACGTTTCTTTTTAACTTCGAAATTCGCTCTGAGCGAATGGCGTTTTGAAGAGCGGCGCGATATTCGTACATACCTTGCCGGGTACCATGCTGCGAGAGTAACCACGATGTTACCCGGGCATTCTTGTCTACCGTCCATCCGTTCATCCTCGGACGCTTGTCAAGCTTTTTCCCCTGTTCCCCCTTTCCTACCTACCGCTGGGGATCGGAAATGGCGATGAACAAATATCTCTCTCGCAAGGTATTACCGCGTATTAGATTTCCATGTCCTTTACCCGACCCTTATACATACCAGACCTGACATTTCAACGGAAACAATTGCAATTGTTACTAAAATGGCGTTTACCTTTGTATCTACCTTTGAAGCAGACCGAAGAATTGTCAGAAAATAAAAGATTCATTTAGCACTATGGTTTCTTCCGAAAATGTTCCATTATATTTTTTTTCAATTTGTACACGTCCATAAAAATTGCCTCCTTTTAACAGTGTGTACCTAAAGCGACAAAAACCCTAGTCTAAGTTGACTGCATCACACCGAGAAATATAATAAGGAGGAGTAAATGAAACCTACCGGCATGCTCGAAAAAAAGCATTCTTTCCTTTTCACAGAAAAAATGTCTCTATGGTAGGCACATGGCTGAAACGGTACGTTGCAACATAATGGAAAGTTTTCGGCGTCTTAAAAAGAACGCAGTTTCTTGAAATACATAAAGAATTTTCTATTATAACGTACATGTTATTTATCTAAATTACTTGTATCTGTATTAAACGCTGTTTAAATTTATCCTCGTTTACTTTATAGTAAACGTTTGGAAAAACTCTGAAAGTTTTCCGAAATACGTTCCGAACATTGAAAATGAAAGTCTTTTTGGGAATCAAGTGAGAAAGTAGCGAAACTGTTTTTTCACACGGTAAAGTAAACTTTGATAAAAGAAAATCTTTTTTAAAATTACATGTATAACGTCAAATATTGAGAAACTGCAACAAATAGCTCCCCTCGACTTTTTTGCTATGAAAGCTTTCATAGCAAAAAAGTCGAGGGGAGCTATTTGGTTAATTTCTTTTTTAGTGAATTCTAGAATTCACTAAAAAAGAAATTAACCAAGTTGAGTCTGTTCGAAAAACATTCGATTACATCTCCTATAATATATTGTATCATTAAAAATTCATAAGATACTCATTATTTATGTGTATTATATAGCAAGATATTTGAGAGATATTAATCGTATTCTTATAAATAGGAATCGTGAATTGAGAATCACATTATTTCTGAAAATATAAATTTCACCAAAATCAAACATTTTTATCAATTTAATTAGATACAGCAAAGTATATGGTTACTGACCACAATTTTAATAATCTTTTAAGTATTTAATAATTCAACAAATAAAATTTTTAATAATTTAGAGATATTGTAAAAGTAATTGCACAGCAGGATCACAATCGTCTTTTACTACTTAACGCATTTAATGTTCGTTTAAAAAATTGAACGCATCCAGGAAAGTTTTAAAAGATTTTGGAAATTGACTGTCATCTGAACCACAAGATCGATATAAACGCCAAGATTAGTTTACTTATAGATACATAAATTCAATTAGTAAGAGCTGGAGACACTCTTGGAATAACTAAAGTAAATAAAAATATTAACAATATATGGAAAGTTACGATCGTATTTTTCTCTATTAGAATTTAATCTAAAATTTAATAGGGAATCTAATATCTTAATTCTAATAAATATTTCTCGGTAACTGCTAGTGGAAGTAATTCAAGATTCACTAGCCAAGCTAATGAGAGTAACAAGTACGCGCCAAGACCAGCTTCATATAATCTCCTTCGCGATAACGCTGTATCCTTTGATATCATTGCGTCATATTTCCGTTGTCGGAATGCCGCGCGCATTCCCTCCACCCTCGCATTCGTACGCGATATCACCGGCGGAGTTTTCTCTGGCGATTGAATATTTGGTCCAAGGGACTTTGATGTCGTAATATATCTGTCGCACTTAAATCTCTTCAGCGCGATACGCGTATGAAAGAATTTCGAAAGATACTGAACCTACTGCTTATATCGCGCGTATTCGTACAGCGACGAATCAAGAGAGCCTGATGAAAGTACCAGAAGCGATACAAAGTTATCGTGTTTGAAAAATATAAATAGATCGGAGCATTATTAAGGACGGTAAAAATAACAAATTTTTGTCATATCCAATATGCTAGAATATTTTGCTAAATTATTTAAAAGGCGTGTGTTAAAAATCGTAATCAAAGGTCTACAATATCTGATTTTTATAAATTGATATGTTAAATTCATCTCGATATAGAGAAGCAACGAAATCCGGGTAGACGAGGAGACGAAATGGAACAACTAAAGATCTCCGATTGTGAAGAAAAGGAGTAAGAATTCAAATATAAAAAATCCTCGAGAATTTATGGGATATTAAATTATATATTTTTTTTTATATGAAGAATGTAATAGTTTCAAAAATCTACGCCATTAAAATATTATTCTCTTCTCTCTCGTCTCTTAATATTCCTTCCATAATAAATTTCCAATTAAACTTCCCCCCTCATCGTGTCCCATCACGACACAAGTCTACAAGAAATATTTATCGACCGATTTGTAGGTCGATCCGCAGGTACGATCTTTGCGACAAGAACCGAACAGATATTATAAATAAACACGTGCGTGGACCTCTCGAGCCGATTATACTTACGCTTCCGTGATCGGTGGTGAGCAATAGGACGAGTGATAGGTCGCTATCTCGTTGTTGATCGACAATCCATTCGGCCCGAGCAATCCAGTCGAGAATATATCCATCATAAGCGGCGCGGACGATTCTCGCGGGTGGCGGACAAGAGAACGGAGAAACGGGGAACGAGAACGGGGACGGGGATGGCGGACGAGGGGGCAGAGCCGAGGGAGAAAGCGCGCGGGGTTCGGCGATAAATGAAAATCCTCTCGCCCGCGTAGATGCTCCGAGCACCCCCCGGCTTACGAGCACTACCGCCTGCACGCGTAGGTAACGACGCGATCCATTGCGGCGGTCCTGCTGCGCGTCTCCGTCTCCGGAGAATTTTGCTCTACCTCGCAAAAGGAGAACCGCGCTTCACGCGGTCATGTTTACGCGCTTTCCCGCGGTCCCGCGCAAAATAAGACCCCTACGAGCGTCGGCACGCCACGCGCATCCCTTCTCCACTTTCTTCCTTTTTCGGCTTTTGTCTTTTTTCTTTTCCCTCCGTTTTTCTCGTGAAAGCGTGTATATCTCGCTTCTCCCGACCGGACGGAGGAATATCCGTCGATCCTCGAGATCGCGAGGGAGAGAACGCGACGCCTAGCACGCTACGATAAACGGAGGAAGAGGGATGCGCGCTCCGACGCGCGCGCGAACGGCGCTATAAGTTTACGCGCCGAAACACTTCCACTGCCCCGATGGGTATCACGTCGCGCGTCAGCACTCGGCGATTTCGGTGGGGAAGTGTCGCGCTGAACGATCCACTTTCAACGGCGGTCGAGTTCGGACTGGCGATCGCTATCCGAAGGAACTCTCGCTGGCAGCACCGCAGCAGCAGCAGCAGCAACAGAAAACGGCAGGTCTAACGCTGGAATCGGTGGCGGGGAGAGAAGGGGAAAGGGTCGACCCTAGGGAGAGAAAGAGACGAGAAGAGATCGAGGGGGGGACAGGAAGAGAGAGAAGGAGACAGAGACAGAGAGAGAGAGAGAGAGAGAGAGAGAGAGAGGGAAATGCACACGAGGAAACCGGCATGGCATCTCGACTCCGAAGAGTCCGAAGGGTGAGGTGGAACGAAGGCGCCGGTCCGGTCGTCTCTACGAACTTACATGCATACGTGCCTCGGAACGGAACGATCGACCGGCAAAAGGCGGCGATGTACGACGCAATGCGCGACCTGATGCCTGTGCGGAATTAACAATCGACGCCGATAAGTAGTCGGAGAAAAGGGCGCGCGAGAGGAAAGCGTGTTGGAGAAATCCATTCATTCTCAGACTCGCTGCGCTGACGTCGCTTTCGAGTTAAGTTCCATTTCGACGAATTGCACGTATATTTCGTACAGAAAGAGCATGATAAAATCAATCTGTCGAAAATGCCATCGAGTTCCCTTAAAATTGAATTGTCAAACCGTTTAAGTAAATTTCCAAAATTTATGAAAAGGGTACGCTATGTATAGTTAAATCCATTTTGCGTAACACGTAACAACATTAAAAATCTCTCTTGCGCTCGATGCAGCTCGAAAATCGCTGTCACCCAGAATTTATCGTTAAACTTTAGAAAGGTTTTGTTATTGTCGTTGCTTTATTATATCTATAAAAATTAAAATATAATGTTTACATACAGCAAATTTATTTTGTGCATGATTTAATTTTTCTCTCGGCGAGTACCGCTCTCAAAAGCATGGGGGAATTGAACGCCTTGAACGGCGGTGTCCTTAAAACAAGAGGAGCGCTTTGTTTGTGGGAATGTACTTTAATAGCGGCGCATACCTTGGAACTCCACGGACTACGCCTTAAGCTACAGCTACACTGCAGACACCGCTGCTCGCCGAGTGTCTCGACGTGGAAATTTCAGAACCGAGGACGATGGGATCGAAATATAATGAAAAAAATAATTGGTATATCGATGGCATAAACAAATCATTTTGTGACATCAAATGCGACTTGTTTTCTACAAATGTCCCTAACGCCAGTTACGGTATAATGCACTTTGCCATATTAAAATCGACATTTACTCTTCTAACGTCATAATATAAAATAACAGGTTGCAAAATAACAAAAATAAGGAGCGTCATCTTATTTAGACCGTTGTTAAAATGCTGTTGCACAACTTTTATGTAACTTACTACAGTGTAAATGGAACTTTAAGTCGGTTAACCCACGAAAGGTACACCGAGAAAAATAAGAGAAAGGAGAAGGAAGATGAGAAGGAGAATTGAAAGAAAGAGAAGAGGTAAGAAAGGAGAAGGAGGAGATCGCGGCGACGCTGACGAGGAAGAAGGACGTGAGAAAGACGAGGAAATGAGAGGAAGGGTTGCGGACTCCGGGATAAGCCGCAAGGTCTCGGCGGTATCACGCCGTCATGTTCTGAGAACCGATCGATTCCTTGACGAACCGCGGCAAAGAAATTGCGAGTCGATGGCGCGAAATCATGGAACCTCCTACGGATCACGCTTCGAAGAATATCAAGGACGAAAAACGCGCCGGAATTTCGGCGAGTCCAAATATATTTTTTCCTGACGTTACATTAAACATATAAAAAATTAATATAATGACAAGATTTTTCTCTCTGTCAGAAGCTACATTTTTTCTTGAAATCTCTTTCTCCTTATTTATTAACGATTTATGGTTTGTCAGTAAAAATAACAGGAGTTTCAATTTGTCGTAGGAGGATTTCAGTTTATTGAATAGAAAGCAGGTTTGTGCTGAAATACGCTCGCTAATTTCTTTTTAAATACCTACGAAATTCGTGCGCCAACGTGATCGAGAAAAAAATGTGGAAGCTGAGAAAGGCAAGAAGAAAGAAAGATGGAGAGAGAGAGAGAGAGAAGACATCACGAAAAGGAGGCGACGTCGCGTGACTCGTCCCGAAGCCGGGAACCCGCTTCGAAATTGAGAGCGGCATATGTCGAAGTTGAAAGAATATGCAAAATCTGGAAGAAAGGACTTCCTGCGAGATGTATGCAACCGCGAGAACGAAGCGCGTCCGGGCGGGCGGTATTCTCCGCGGCGCGGCGGCTGATTCCGAGAAGAAACGACGAATAGAGAGAGAGAAAGAGAGAAGGTCGCGACGTGGAAGGAAGAAAAATGAGGAACCGACGCGGACGCCGCGCACAGGTACACGGCCGTGCTGATACCTCGGATTGGATGCAGGTCGCTACATGACACGGACAGGTTTTCCTCGACGAAAAGAACACGACGGGCGCCCCGCCGCCTTCCGGGTTCTCAATTCGGGATAAAAAGACGAGCGCCGACCGTGGCGGTCCAGCCCAAGACTCCACACAGCTGAGAACCGCCAGCGGCCGTCACTGCTCGGCAAAAAGATAATGAATCCGCAGAATCTCGCGGATAACGGACAAACGTCTGGTATTGTGCGCGATTTTTGCAAATCACCTGTTATTTTTTAGAAACCTCGCGGACCGTTTTCTCAAATTCTGCTGGAATTTTTTTTTTCTTAAATGATCGCATGACTGCGATTACTGAATATTCGGTTCTTAGAGATATGAATATTTACTTATGATACGTAGCAAATACATAAATGCAATTACTATTTTTCTATAAATTATTTAATTATGATTGGGCATTTGACATTATATAGATACGTCAAAGATAAAATATTAATACAGAGTATTAACTTTCAGTATTCCAAATCTTACCTGAAAATAAAATTATTGCTGCAAAATAATTATCGTTTTACTTTTTCTATTATTTTTCTTGCGAATGAAGTTTTTTTCTCCCCTCTCTGTTTCTCTCGACCGCACCAGTTCACGGTCTGCTTTCTGTACAGTCGAATGTTTGTGAGTCCGAATTTGATTATCTCTAACCGACCTGTGGAGGGTTATACGTACGCGGTAACCCCGTAATTTCAAAGGCATTAATACCCAACGCGTCCGCAAATCGCCGAAGTTTATTACGGCGGTGAAGTTCGGCCAAAGCACCGAAACGGGACTCTGCCGGCCGGTACAAAGCCACGAAAGATTATAACGTTCGAGGCTCCCGGTGAGGTTTCGTGCAATATTTCAAGAAGATTTATTCACGAAAACAGTCTTCTATATATGGCGAAAACAAAAAAAGGAAGCTGAATTTCACCAGCATATTCCATTAATAGCGATAAAAAAAATGTCATATAAGCATGAGCTCACAAATGCAACTCTTTTCGAGTTACGGATATCGAAGGCTGTCTATTGGCAGAAAGATTCCGACATCAGAGTAAACCAGCAATATCAAGTATGTAAATATTACATGACATTGCTCTCGGATATTACAGCGGAGCACAAACATAGAATTATTATTCCTACTAAGAAGGAATAATAATTCTGTGTTTGTGCTCCGCTGTAATATCCTACTAAATAGGAATAATGTAAATAATAATGTCAAGGCTGCTATACTATGACGCCACATACTCAGCCTTCGTCCCCTACGCTTACTGAATTATCTCTAATTTTGTAGATACATATATTAATCTGGGAATAGTCACCTGGGGTAATTTTTACCCTCCAGTAGCGTGGAAGATATAGCTCGGTCACAATAGTTCTCGCTACTGCTCGACAAAATCCATATCTATTTTTATTTCTCCATACTCTTTTTTAAATATTAAGTATAATATAAATTATATTAAATAAAATAATCTTTTGTAATATTAAGTATGACATAATTCTATATAAATAATTTCAAATACTAATAAATTGTAGAGCGACCCATATAATACACAATATGTAGCTAATAATAGCGGCTTTTAATTGGAGTGCAAAAACTCATTCAGATTTCTCGATTCGCGAATCCTAAACACGATTTCGTTGAAGAGAAATCATTCTGCCCGGAGAAGATCGTGTGTTCGCCCGCGTTTTTTCGCGACCTTCTCCTCGTCGAGAATGACGCGGGGCGATATCCATGCCACGCACGCATCGCGCGTCTCCGGTCTCGTATACATCTTTCCGAACTGCATCGAATTTGTGTATTATGGGACCGGCGCGCGGCGTATTAAAGAGCCACATGCGACGCGATGCAAAGCGCGGCGCGTTACGGCGTCGCGTCGCCGGGTGTCGATCCCTGCCCTGCGCGCTCTCGAGCACGCCGTGCGCTGAATAGCGGCGCATCCGCGCGACGGGTGAAAGAGACGGGGCCCCGACCAAACCGGGAGGGTTCGCCGCCGCTCGTCCGCCTCTGTTCCTATGAACGAGGCAGCTGTCTCTCATTTGTTTCCGCGCGCGCGCGCGCGCGCGCTCGCGCGAGATGACCGTCGACATCGTCGCCGGCGACACCGAGAGGTCAATCTCGCCGAGCATTTCTGCGCGGATCCTCCGATGAGAGGAATTATCTTGCTGGGCAGCAATTTTATCGACCCGTTTATTAAACTGCGTCTTATTTTTGTACACAAATTTTATATTGCGATTTTTATTCTAAATATAAATCACTATCTATTTAATTACTTTAATTATATCCGATTTTTAATTATTTTCGATTTGCGACCGAGGCCACAAAGATTCGACGTATTACTATGTAGTGTTAATTATAATTAAACATTGTGACTTACGTAGTAACCGCGTCGTATACTCTCAATGCCCATTATTAACTCTACTTTGTTAATTTAATTATTTTAGTATTAATTTGGGATTCTCAGAGGTGATATAAGAGCAATCGTGGTTCGACTGAAATTCTTCGATGTTCCTAGCCAGTTTTTAACGGTACTGCTCCGGTTTTGGGTCAACTCGTTCTATTTTGTGATTATTTTGTAGACATTCCCAACTCCTTTGTAAATATTATGGCTTTATTAATTTCTTTTATAAGTAAATTTTTAGTAAATATTAGTCACATTATTTAGTTAGTTAAATATTATTTATAGTTAAAAATTCTTGTGCATAATAAAAAATATATATATATTCAATAAAACTCGTGTTAAAACATGGACAGGCGTGGAGACGTCAAACGCGTGCGGGCAACCGAACGGAATGATTAAAAGAGTACGATCTTCCTACGCGAATAAATGGCGCGAAATGCGCGTCAAATAGAGGACCAGAGAGCGAGCGGCGAGAAAAGGGGGACGTGGGAGGTGCAGGAGGGCACGAACCGGGCGCGAACGGCAAGGCCAGGACGCGGAAGGGCGTGTGCACGAGGAGAGACCGCCAGCAGGCGATGGCACGCGTGGTTGTATATATATACGTTCGTCGTCTGCGTTTTGTCCTCGTCTAGCAGTTGCCATGCGAAGCACTGGAGCCCGCGGGTTGACGTCACCCTATCTCCCGACGGACAAGCTTAAAATTGATAAGTGGGACCTCGCGTGGGCCGTTCCGGGACGAAGAGGAGGATCACTCTGTTTACGAAGTATTCCCGCGCGTGGAAATAAAAAAGCGCGGGAGAGACCCTTGCGTTCATCGATCATCAAATGGATGGACGAGATCCCGAAGTTTATCGAAAGCTCGTACTTAACAGACTACGCGATTGAGAATGAGTCATCAGAACGGATTAAGATTATTTAATTGATCGAATTTGAATCTTCAATTCCTCCATCTTAATCGCAAATGCATAGTCTGACGCGAGTTTTGAAGATCTACTCCGGAAATATTCAAGAACACCTGTGTCAGATATTCTTATATACATAGGCTCCGTTTATGCTCTGTTTGTTTTATACTTTGTTCCACGTTTCTGTCTACCTTGTGATCTGTTTATCACGTTTTGCTTGCATTCTATCAACATCGCAAACTACATTCTTTTATTTTCAGGTAGGCATCATAGCAGCGGCATTACTGATGTCTCACTTTTCGCAGATGCATCTGAATATCAAACACATTATATTTACCTATTTTGTTATTACCAATCTTATATGCGTAAAAATTATTGTTATTGTCACGTCAGGCCGATAAAGGATTATGATCATTACGATTGGCGCAACAATCTTATGTTAGAAAATTTTTCAAGAGAGAGAAAGAATCTTCGAGAGAAGACTCTTCGGCTTTTATCGCAAAACAAATATATATATATTTATCGTGAAAAGAGTATTTTAAATTTGAAATACTTTGTACTGATGTTTACGTGAAATTTTTATGTGTTTATTGTGAGATCGATGCCTGTGTACAAAACAAGTTTAACCCGAGAATAGTCACCTATTTTTCTTTTTGCGTAAACGATCACCTGGGTATTTTTTTTACACCCCAATTAAAAGTCAACAAGTATCAATTACATATTGTACATTTGATTACTCTACAATTTATTAGTATTTGAGATTATTATAAATTTATTCAATATTTTCTATAAAAATTAAGAAAAAAATAAAAAATGGATATGGATTTTCTCAATTGGTAACAAAAAAATATAAGACTTAACTTTCTCGCTGCTGGGGTGTAAAAATCATTCCAGGTTACTACCCCTGGGTTGAAGATGATTTCGACCAAACTCTGATTAAAACTTAATCGGAGTTAACTTATCAAGTAATATCTATAGTGTTTTGTACATAGATAGAATTATTATTTGTTGTTTATATAGAAAGAAAATCTTGCTTTGAGCGACTTTGCCGGTGAAATTATTTAATCGCGATTAACTTAATCGGAGTTTGAGCGAGACTCCCTTTAAAAATCTTCAACAGAGTAAATTTATCGATTTTAACGTTGTCTCTTGGGTCTCACCGTCTCTCACGGCTGTATCTTATTAATTCTTATCCCGAAGGAGAAAGTCGATCCTTTCGGCGCGGGTTATTTTATACTTCGCTCGGTTATCGGATACAAGAATGAGAAAGATGAGATCGCGACGCGAGCGGATAAAACAAAAGCGTTACCGAAGAACACAAGCGAGGCTGGAAATCATATACATTGCATCTTCGTAAAAGACGATACAAAGAGAATATACAATAATATAACACAAATTCAAAAGTCAAAAGTGTAATCTTAAAAATTTTATTCTTTTCTATCTCGGCACCTCTTGCGCGGGTTATTCTATACTTTTCTCGGACACAGGAATGAGAAAGGTGAGATGTGAGATCGACGCGAGCGGATAAAACAAATAAAAAGCGAATGTCACCGAAGAGCCAGACCGGAAATTGTACATTGCACCTTTATAAAAAGTGACATGAGAATAACACGATATACAATAATGTAACGTAAATTTAGGAGAAATATTGTCGATTACAATGAAACGTTGTATAAATTTTCTGGCCGGAATATTCGAGGAAAAAATGTATTTGACGATACTTATAATATATTAACAAAATTTCTATACTAGTATAAGAAAAATAAAATAATACAATAGTATACAATCCTATAAAAAATTGTTGCAAAAATACTTAAATTCATTATCTCGACGTGACAATGTACCAAATCGATGTATAAAATATATCAATGTACAAATGTCAAACCCAAATGTATAAATACAACTTTCGACAAGATCAGTCCCCAATTTCGCTTCACGAAGCAAACCTGAAAAGCGCATCTTCTGTGAATATAAAAAAGCAGGACAAATCGACAGACGCGACGCATTCCGAAACATTCTGTACGAAAAATCGGAAAAATCGGGGATCAAGGAACAACTTTCAAAAATATGAATTTTAAAAAAAGGAGGGCTAACTTCATACACTCGATCAAGGACCAAGAGGACCAAGACCAGCGACGACGTCGTTCATTTCGGCCGGAAAACAAGTGGCACACGACGCGACGACGATGATCGGGGTGACAGTCGAGCAACAATAATAGGCAATAGGCCTCGCGAGATGTCGACGAGAGAGCAAAGTGTCGAATTCACCTTGACGAGGCGCGATCTGTTATTGTCGTCAATTGTCACTCTCGAGCTCTCGTCTTCGCCTCGCGACACGCGTAAAATAAACGAGACGAGATCGCCGCGTTCCCGCCAACCTGCGCGACGCACGCGAGAAGATGAGACACGCTGATGGAAGCGTCCCCCCGGCTGCCCGGGGCACTCCGGCCTCACTCCGGCCTGCCTGGCGCGACTCGACAACGCTCTGAATCCCTCGATCCTCGTGCCCCTCGCGATACGCGGGTGAGCGGAGCGAGAGGGACGCGAGATACCCGTCGCGCGGGTCCACGCGTTGCTCTCCCACGCTCTTCCTTCCCGCCAAAAACATCGCGCTTTAAACACGGGGGGCCGAAGGAGCGCGCGGCTCCCCCGACTCTTCGGAGGGAGAAGGGGGGGAAGAATTTCGTCCACCTCCCTCCTTTCTCCCGTCCCCGGGGCCGGCGAAAAATAACCGAGTACAGAGTTATCTAATTTTAAATACACCAGAGGAGACAGAGAAGGGGGAGGTAGGGGGTACGGGGAGACGCGTCTGAGACGCAGCCTCGACGTATACGCGCAAACCCCTTTTCGTCGGGGAGGGAGGGAAGGGGGGGCCGCAACATACAAGGGGGCGACATATACGTGCACTCACCTCTTTCTACCGAGGAACATGTTGCCGCATCGTCTCGGGGTGAACATCCGAGATGCGTCTCACGTAAACCGCGCGCGAGAGAAAGAGAGAGATAGAGAGAGAGAGAGAGAGAGAGCGGTGGACGCGTAGAGAGCGATTTAAACAATATGGCCGCTCTCTCACCCTCCGGAAACCGGAACAACCGCGAGAGACGCGACGCGACGCCTCGCCTCGGCCGAGGCAGGGGAGAGAAACCCTCGTTTCGGCGTTCCGCGGGCACTCTCACTCCCCGCGCGAATCGACAGCGCTCCGATTTGCACTCGCTCCGAGAGATTCTACAACGCTGCGTCGCGCACTACGCGACCGATCTCGCGTCCCGTCGGCGGGTCTCGCGTGTCTCGCGTTTTTTGACAGACCGCGTTTACGAGGAATACGAGGTATAGATCGCTCCCCGTGACGCCGCGAGCCGTTTACCTCGCGCAGGCTAACTGCCCCGCGGAGTCGCCGACGACACCGACGCGACGCGGAGATCAGCCCCGTCGGTCACGTAGTCCAGCTCTATCCCCTCCTGCCCCCCCGCCCCTCGCTGTTCTACCGCGCCGTACGATTGGTGATGCTTTAGAGCGGAGTTTTTACTTTATCAACGGCAGCAAAGAAAAAGATCTTCCTAATGTTTTGTAAAAGATAAAATAATTATAAATGTAAATATTAAATTTAATGATTATAGTAATTATCAAATGTTAGTAAATTTGTAATTTTTGTTATTTACCTATTTATTAATAAATAAAACTATTTAGTTTAGATAAATTATTGTTTGTATTATAAGTGAATAAATTTTATAATTTAGATATCCATTTCATACATGTGTAATATTAATGTCAATATTAATTAAATATAATTATTTGAATATTTCTCAATGTTATTATTTATTAGTTAATAGATAAATTATTTTAGTTAAATAAATTTGCTAATAAATTTATTTTTAATTTTTATAATTAAATGGACAAATTTAATATTTATCCATTTTTTATTTTATTCATTTTCATGTTTGCTTTCTATACAAGTCTCTCCGTCTCAATCTTTTTGCATACGTCATATTCATAAATGAAAATGTGTATAATAAAATAAAGAAAGAAACAACAATACAGAAGGAGCAGCTGATAATCTGACAAACGAATTAATGTCACGTGGTCGACAGTGTCGACACGCGCGACCGGCGAGTTTTCCGCGCCAATTTCGCATCCTCTCGATTTTCTTTGACACTCGCGACAACATAGGTGTCAACAATACAAGCGAATGACTTAATTAAAAATGAAGTTCAGATGTAGAATGGTGGATACGGGTGCCATGCGGGATTTTACAAGTAAAATTTAAATTTCGTGCTTCTAACCTCATCGTGGATGCCAAATGCGAATCTCTTGAAATGATAAATATGATGATGATTGACAATGAATATGCTCTCTCTCTATCTCTTTATTAACTACGAACGTGTTTTTTTTCTTCAGGTATCGTTAATACTATATCCCGAATGGCAAAATACTGCGTGCTGCGATTGACGCCGGACGAATTGTGCTTCAACGTCGGCGACGAGCGTATCCCCGTGCTCTGGGCAGTGCTCTCGCAGCAGCACTTCTTCGCGGAGTACGTTATGAGCGGCGTGTCCGAGCAGGAGAACGAGATCTATCTGGAGTTCGACGCCTCCATGTTCGCCAGAAGCTTGAACAGCCTCCGGGTGACGGCGAGGAGCGTGAAGATTAAATTGACGAACAAGCGACAGCCCTGTCTCACGTTCGAGATCGACCTTACCTCCCTGTCCGTTGACTCGCGGCAGTGCGTGCACGACGTGCCCGTGAAGCTCATACCCCGCAGAGAGTGGCCGGAGCACAAAATGCCGGACATTCCCGAGTTCGACGTAGGTATAGCAATGTACACTCTGTAAATCGTGCGCTATCGATTCGGTAAGGGTAGAACCTTTGTGTTCCACGCAGATATCGCTGGAGATACCGCAGCTGAAATACCTACGTTACATCGTGGACAGAATGAAGAGCATGAGTCCTCAGCTGACAGTGATTGCCAATAAATCTGGAACGTTGGTGGTAAAGATCGAGGTGGACTACGCTACCGTGTCGACTCATTTCAAAGGGCTACAAGTTTGGGAAGGCAACGAGGAGCAGGAGACTAACGATATCTCGGCGACTGTCAACGTAAAGAAACTCGCCATGTTCCTGGGCTGGGACATTCTCCATCCGGACAGCGTTAAGTGTAACTTGTTGCAGGAGAAGATGGTGAAACTAACTTTAGACGTGGGGGATCACGTTAAAATACATTATTTTATGCCGGCCATTGCCTCGTGAGCGAAGGGAACGAAAGACTTAGATGTAGTGTTATTTAAATGCAAAAAAAAAATATATATATATATTTCTTACGATTCTCATTCATACGTTCGCATCCATACAGGTTGAACTTGTCTATTAAATAAGCTGTACGCCAATTCTAAAATAATCCTTACAAATTTATACATATAAAATGAGTAGCAACTATGATAGTAACTAATTATAAGCTAAATGTAAATTCTGTTCGCTCTCTTGCCTGAAACTCTGATGCATCTGATCGATCTGTTGTATTTTCTGATTCAACAGGGCCGTCTGTTGATCGAGCCATTGCAGACTGTTCATGTGCGCGTTCAGAATTTTTCCGATCTGAACGATAGGATCGCTGGAGTCCTGAGCGCGGTTCGCTTCGTTCAGGTGCTCTATTATTTCCTTCAGATCCTCCGACATGCGTTTTAGCTGGGTGTCGAGATTCTCTGACAAACGATAGGTGTAATCTCGATCGGAATCCGAGACGGAGAGAGACGCCAGCTCCTTTTCCAATGGTACTAAACATTCCTGCAACTCTTTCTGTTGTCCAACCTGAAAGATATTATTATTCAAATTTTTAACGTGGAAATTTAGTAATTAATTTTTCCCGTGCTCTAAAATCGCACAGACGTCAATCTATACAATTGCGGATATACATGTGTAACTTACAACGTAGTCCAGCTCGTGCTCCAATTGCTGCTGCTCGATCTTCACTCTTTCAACCTCCTGATTCAGCGTTACTATCTTCTCCCCGTTCGTTATCAACAACTTGTCCCAGGCATTAACCTGCGTCGCTTGATTCACAAACACCTTCTCTTGCTCCTCCAACTCCAAGGTCCACTTGTTGATCGATTCTTCAAGCTGGCAGAAATTAATAGCCCCTGGTTGAACGCCGGTCGCGGAGCTGACGCTGCGACAAAAATAATTGAACTTGTAGTTAGCAACGAACAAAAATTAACTAATCATTCTAAACACGGATTTTGTAATTAGCATTACTTACGTGGTGGTGGTGCCCAGTGAAGTGTGAGTAGACGGTGCTGCTAGGCTTGTCGAAACAGCGGCGGAGGTCGTTTTGCTCAGAGGGAATCCAGCGGAGGTGGTCGTCGACGTTCCGAAGCTATATCCTCCTGTGGTGGTAGCCGCGAGAGAGAATCCAGTGGTCGAGGGTGTAGTGGTACCCGTTTTCGAGGCGTCAAACGATAGTCCCGGTGTCGCGGATGTCGCTGGCGTACTGCTAGGAAGGTTGAAGCTCGGAACGCTCGGTACGGACGTTGTAGCAGCAATTGTACTACCGAGACCGAACCCAGTTCCAGTAGCCATGGTGTTTGGAGTGCCAAAGGTTAAGCCGGTGGCTCCTTGAAGATATAACGCGTACGTGTTAACATCTTTCTTACACTGTAAAGAGGCGAATGCTTTGTTGCGCCAGAAAATAGGGACGTACCTGGTGTACCCGCCATGGGTTTCGATGCGCCAAAACCCGCGAAACCTGGCGCTGCGGTTGTCGCGATGGGGAATCCTGTGGACGGGGTCACGGCCGCTTTCGTGGGGTCGAACGAGAGGCCCGTCGTCGCGGACATGGGCGTCCCGCTGCTGGTGAGATTCGTGAAGCTCGGCAGACTCGTCGCCGTAGATATGGACGTCGTCGTTGCGGTGACGCCGCTTCCGCCGCCGAGGCCGAAGCCGGTCCCGGGTATCATGGTGTTCGGAGAGCCGAAGGTCAGCCCGGTGAGTCCTTGCAACAGGAAAAGTGCCAACGGGCATCAAAATACCGAACGCGAGTCTCCCTTTCTCTCCCCCGAGCTAAAGAAAGCACAGAGACGTTTCCATTTCTGTTCCCGTTCAGCACGCTTGGCGTATACCTGTCGTGGGCTTTGGCGCGCCGTAGGACAATCCTTGGGGATTCGGAGGCGTAGCCATCGTGTACTCCGTGCTCCGGGTCTGCTCCAACCGTCTATCTTAGCGGTTAAAGTGGTTAACTGGAGCCTGGAGCTGCGTGGAGCACTGAGGGCACTGCGCGAAGATAAACGAAGATAGACGAGCGCGCAGTTGTCTGAAGTGCGCGTCGAGTCGCCGGCCAATCCGACGGCGGTAGAGCGCGCGCGGCGACCAATCGCGTCGCGGGAAAACGGTCCCGGTTCTCACCCCGCTGACCGCCGACCCTGAAAGCGGGATCCGATGGCACAGATGCACTTGTATAACCTGTAATACGCATGTAACGTGCTGTAGCGTTTGTGACGCGCGGTCTATGCCCTCTATGCTACTGTAATTATCACGTGGCGACGATAATGAGGGATATACCCATGAGATCTGTTTTTTTTTTTTTTTTTTTTTTTTTTTTTATATTATAATCCAGTGTACACTCTGTACTTAAAGTAGAGTAGATTCAGTAGATATATGTTTGAAATTCGATGAAAGCGAGAAGGGATCAATGCAGTTCCATTCTAATGCGGTCCGGTGCAGCAATAAAAAAGCAAACCCGTCGGCGTGGAACCGGCGGGGAAGTCGGGGAACGCCGGGCGCAGAGCGAGGATCTGTCGGATCTGATCGGAGTCCCACGCGTTGGTTGCCGCGCGCGCGGACGCGGACGCCCCGCGGACGTTCTGCGTTCGGGTACGAGTTATTCATACGCCGCGCCGACGGCCGTGTCTGTGGCACGCGTGGAAGGACCCACGAAATCTCGAATCTTCGTTGGACCTGACTCGGGACACCGAGCGCGTTTGGAAGCGCGATCTCAAGAACCGGGGATAATTCTCGGGCCGCAGTTCGCGCGGACAGGTCCGGTTTGAAGCTGAGATCCGAGGGTTCGACGCACCACGATCAGGAAGTCGTTGTGCACACGCGGACTACGATTTGGACGTCAAGAGTGATGAGAGGTGAATATCGGCGATAATCTCGAGGAAGTTAGAACGTCCTTTAGATGCATTTTACCACATATTCTAATTTTGTTTGTATCTTTTAGATTCTGCGATTGCTTCGTGAAACGCCGGACCGAGAGTGCAACGCCTTCGTTTACCAACAAATTCAAAAGTTTGTTTACTAACGAAAGGGATACGTGATCGCCTAAAAACGTGCACCATTTTTGTGCAATAGTAATTCTTCGATTAGAAAATTGATAATCTAAGTCAAATATATTAGGGGCCGCTCGTCCAAATTTTATAAATCCGAACAAAATAGAAATTACGACAAAGTTTTCAAGTGCAATTACAATAATGTCGAAGCTAATTGGCTTGTACGCGTGCTTTTGTTTATTCCGGTTTGCGAGCAGCTCGACTTTGACGGCACCTCCTCTATCGGCTCTGGTAGTTGCGTTCGATAGTGTATATGATCTATCGCTGTTAGCTAATACCCTGTCGGATCAAGGGATTGATGCGACAGTGATAATACCAACGTATGCTGCCAACAATCTTTATAATAAATTGATCGACGTTGAAGTGTTGCAACTGGACGTCGATAAGTCGGTGCATGTCAACAAACGTGCATTGGAGACGTGCGAAAATCTCTTCACGGATGAGGAGATATTGAAGAAAATACAAGAGTTTCAGCCCACGTTCACTATATTTCCAGCATTAAGGTATGTTAATCTTAAAATTGTTTTCACAATTTTATTACAATAGATTTAAAAGACCCAGGCTTTATTAATTTAATGAAATATTAATGTTTTATACTTTTTATTTTTTTAGACATGACGGCTGCTTGCTCCCATTTGCAAAGCACATCGGATCCATTCCGGTAATTTGGATAAAGAATTCGGATGAGGAACTATATGCATTTGAATGCACCAGAGTTGCCCTGCCGGTGCATACTGGCGGATTTTGGTCGAGACTTTCAACAAGTTTCTCAGGGAGGTCCATATTTTCCGCAGCTAAGAACGATTACCTAGTTCCTGCTCTACGATTAACAGCCAAATATCTGCCGGACGTTAACATCGATTTGGAGCACCTCTACTCGGATGTTCGACTAGTGCTTTGGGGAGCCGATACAGTGTTACGCTCTGATTTTGCGTCTTTAACAGATCTACTCGTGGAGGTTCGTAAAATGCACGTTAATTCTTTATCTTAGTATTTTTTTTTAATGTTTCAGCAGTCTACGTCCTAAAACTAACTTATCGGTTTGAAATTGCTCTTAGGTTGGCTGTCATCATTGCAGAGGCGCGCATCCCTTACCTGAGAATCTACAAAAATCATTGGTCGAATATAGGACGGGCACTGTCGTTGTTCTTTTAGAAGAGAGTTACGAGACGTTGATTCGAGAACTGGCAAAGAAATTGCCTCAAGGTAGAGAAGGTCAAGCTGTCGTTTGGAAGAGTAAGAGCGATACGATTGCTGCCGCACCGGAAAATCTTTTTATTGACGATGACGTCGACCGACAAGATCTCATAGGTAAATAATTATATATATGATAAAAAGTGTGTACATTTTTACAAGAATGAGAATGAAATATAAAATATTTCAATTCATTCAAATCAGATTAGAAAGAATGTACATGATATTTTATGTTGTAATGTAAAGACGTGAACTTTTAAATTTTAAAAGTACGAGGGACCTTTATCTCTTTCCCACGACACAATACATTTCACAGTAAATGAAAACAATGAGTCTAGGCGTTTACTTGCGCACAAGTGAAATACGTGCCTCGCGAATGCGAGCTCTCCAAAGCGCCATTGAATTGAATAATCGCGCTGAAAGAGGATAATAGTGCAATAGCGTAAAGGCATTCTCCCTTAATACTGTTGCCTCATTGTTACAGGTTACAGCCGAACCCGAGTGGTGTTGAGTCATTGTACCGATACGGAATTCCTGGAAGCTGCCTTTCACAGGACGCCTCTGATATGTCTGCCGAGGAACGCTCACGAGTCTCGCAACACGGCTCGCGCGATCGAGTTGGGTTTCGCGCGCTCCATCGAGGCCGCGAACGATCACGCCTCGGCCGTGGAGATCGCGCGGATAGTCCACGAGATCCACGAGACGGTGGCTTATCGTGAAAACGCGCGAAAGGTCTCCGTGGCGATACGCGACAGACTGAACCCACCATCCGACAGGCTCATCTATTGGCTGGGCTACGTTGCGAGGACGAAAGACGACACCGAGAAATTTCATAAGCCGAAAAGTCATGCGAGCACACTTACGGAGGATATTCGGTTCTTCGTTGGCTTTTTGTTAGGCGTAATCGTCGGGATTGTCTGTACGGGCAGCGCGGTCGTCGCGCGATATCTCATCGTCTCGGCTAACAAAGTGCAAACAGCGAAGGGACGATACACGCAGTGAGCGTGCTCCATTGAGATTCGACTCGATATACGCCATGCATGGACATTTCCGTATATGTATATTTATATAAATGCACGTAGAATACAGGTACATACGAATACAAAGGTTTTTTTACGAGCTAGGATTTATCTCATAGTTAGCGAAAAGACGTTTTTGCTATTACTATATTATTATTACGAGAAGACCTTCTCATAATTTGACTGACAAGACTACGAGTCTAATGAAGTGTGATGTATTATCGTGAAGAAAATAAATTACAGTTTGTCAATACTGAATTCTGTATGTCGTTGGCACGAGCGTATTCCCTCGTGTTTACGTTTAACGCTAAGTTCTTACAATATACGGACGAATCGCGATATCTACTATGCGTTGCTTAAGGCCGTATCCTAAACAAATAAGAGAGATAATAGGTATGCAACTTCACGAAATAATGGTTTATGTCCATACAATATTATATTCGCGAAATATCTTATTATAGAATTCATCAAATAAGCGTCGTTCACTGACGAATTAGATTTGTGGAGCAATTTTATATTCGCAAGAATTTTTGATAGTATGCTCTAAACACGTATTTATAACTGCACAGTACCATTATATACGCATGCATGTGTATGCGTGCATATGTAATAGTACTGTATTATATTTGAATAATTCCTTATTCTGCAATAATTTGAGTAAATTATTTCAGCAGATTATTTGAGAAGTTGCAGAGTCCTGTTTATAAGACATTGCATAATATTTCATATCGCTTATTTGATAAATTCTATAATAATATATTTTTAAATATATATATATATATATATATCTGTCTTTCAAAATAATAATTACGTGATGCGTTATGCTACTACGATTTCGGCCGAAGAAAAGTGCGAAGTCTCGCGTGTAATTCGTTGTGAGCATAGTGTCCGCTGATTATGGGAATCAGAGAAAATTCGTAAATGACTAGACTGCCGACTTAACTAGCGACGGCATGCGATAAAGCGGTCATGTACACATATATCGTATTATCATCATATTAAATATATAAAATAGTGAGAGATAAAGTCGCGGATGAGCTAAGAGTATTTCGTGTAAGCTGTGAAAAGATTGCAACGCAAACAGATTCTCCTAAACGAAGCCATGACGAAACGCTCATGTATATACAACGATGATTACGGACGTAGAGTCTAGAAAAAACGGTGAGACGATATTTACATTCATTGGCAGTATTGTTCCCGATTCGTGCGAGTAAAGAGCGCGGAGATCCTCGAGGCGGATTCGTGGACCGCCTCGTAATACGCATCGCTCGTTCACGCGCCCGTCGCTACGTTGCTCTTTAATTAGATGAAAAAAGGATTCTATGAACTAGAGAGCATCGATATACAATGTGAGACATACACCTACGAGACACCGTGCGGAGGTCTTTACCTCGATATAAATGGGACACTCGTCGCGTAATTGCACGCGTATCATGCGCGAATGTGCGAGAGCAGGGAGAGGGGGGGGAAAACGACGCGCGTCGTCTATTACCACGTTTTTGCTCTCCTTTGCATACTCCCACTGGCTTCTTTCTCTCTCTTTCTCTCACACTCTTTCGCTCTTTCATTCTCTCTTCCTGTCGCACGCAGAAATAGTAAATTGGCACATCGGGGCGCGCTGTCGAGCGTCGCGAGATGCGTAATATATGTCACGAGGAGAAATCTAGATAAAGTTCCGACGAAATCTTCTATCACTCGATTCTCGCTATAAAAAGAATGCGCGTACTAATTATATGAGAGATACATATAGCTATATCGAATAAATAAATATATGTATATATAATATATGTATATAATAGAGTCGGAAACGAGAGATGAGGGAAACTTGATGCCGTTACCGTGTTCGCATTGTTACCTTGGAACTCGAATCGTCGGGCCGCGCGAGTCCGATGCGAGTCCGATGATGCAAAGCGAGCATGCAACGGGCTTGCGTCAGTGTGTCCCTGGAATATAAAGCCTCTCCTCCGCGGTACGTCCGGGTCGAGATAAAGTTAAACGATTAAATGTAAATTTAAAGTAACACATTCGCTTTCGATGCATTAACGTTCGCGCCAAGTAGTGTGGCACCTGACAGTCAAACGGTGATGATAAGCCACGCAACAGCAACCTCGCGGACGTATCATTAACGTTAACGTTGTAATAGCAATACCGAGAATCTTGATTGCCGCAGGCAGTTTCGCTTGAGCCTCTAAGTAAAAAAAAAAAATCGTAGGTTAAAATGTTTAAGTCAATGAGTCATACAAAGCGAAGGTGAAGTAGATGCTCTTAGTAAAAGAGCGTCTTTGATTTAATCGAAAAACCGTCCGTTTTAAAATAAATGCATGTTTCGAATTGTAATACTCATTTATCATTCACATATAGCTCGTCGCAGCATTTTCTGCGCTTTCTTATGGAAGCAAAGGCTTGAAGCACAAGCGAACGCTCTCGTATTGCATTTTATTATTCTCCACGTGAGAATGAGAAAAACGGTGTTTAGCGACCGTCAGGCGGAAACCGCATCGACGCAACGCGTCGTTGTGTGTAGCCTCTCGCGGCGTTAATTGCGGATATACAACGCGAAGTGGCAACGAATAATTAATCCAAAACGTAAAGAACGACGTGAGCGCCGTTCCTATAGATAGGCCGGACCCCGGAATGCATCTGCCGCCTAGTTGCACACGTGCTCCTCCCGCGTGTGCCGGCACATCTCGCACTTCACGTGACAGCACCAGACAAATCGGCACTTGCATTTCTCGGTGACGTCCCGCACTCGCGTCTGGTAGCCCCGGCCGCAGCACAGCAGCCGGCATCCGTCGAGACCGAGGGACGTCCGGTTGCACACCCTTCCTCGCGTGCCGGGAATACCAAGCCTGCGGAGAGAACGAAAATTATGACGTTGCGCGAAAGCGCGTGATAATATTACACAAAATTTAAAAAATGACGCGTCGTCGACGATAGAGAATTTCCTCTCAATTCCTCGGGTCATGTTGAATCCTTTGAACGCAACAGAGCTCGTGATGAAATAATATAAAATAATATAAAAGAGACACCGGATCTTTTTCACGAGATTTTCCTCAATAATATGCAATTGTGTATCCTCGAGTATTCTTCAAAAGTACACAGAAAAAAAGAAGTGCCAAATTAAAACTTATACTCAAATTAACGCGTTTATTATTTCGCAGATACGCGACAATCTATAATCTTCTTATAAGAATTTAAAAACATGTGTTTCTTGCATTTTTTAACACTGCACAACTCGTGCAATCATATCTATTCGACAGATAATTCTGAAGGATTATTCAACATGATCAGGTCGAGGGGGGGTGTTTTTGCGCGGCGCGAATTTAGACCCACGTGAGATTCCTTTCGCAGTAGTCGGGACTGTCCTCGAGATAAACCAGATCCGTCTTGTTCGGTCGCTTGAGATCGGGACGCGCCGGTCTGAGCCTGGCCGGTCTTCTACCGCCGCGTTGCGCCAGCCGCACCAGAGCGGCACCCTCGTGCAAAGCCGCCAGGGCGACTCCGGCCACCCGGAACGACGGCAATCTTCTCCAGCACACGCGCACGCTGCAGGAGCCGGACATACCTGCCATGGTGCGACAGAAGAGAGAAGATGGAGAATTTATTCAGCGGTGCGCGCGAGAATGAAGAAGCGACATCAATCGCGGAAAACATTTATTGATATTTATTATATCAATATTTTTTTATATATTAATATTAATATTTTATTTCGTCGCATTTTATAGGTAGCCACGATGTGCGTCGTGTTTGCGCGAGAGAGACTAATACGGGCATCGAGGGATCTTCTCCTTGTTACTCACCGTGGCACTTGCAAACGCGCTGCATCCTGGAGCGAATGGCGCGTCTACCGGCCTCGCTATCATGTTTCCTCATCAGCTGGCCGGCCAACCCTTTGGGCCCGTACAGAGCACCCTCCTTCACCGGTTCCTCGCCACCCTCGGACCATTCCCGCGAAAACTTCTCCCCGAAGTGTATATCCTGCGGGAGAATCCGCACACGTTTCTGAATACATTTTCCTAAACAACGTTAAAAACTTGACGCTAAGAATTTGCGAGAGGAGAGAAGACTTCCGGCAGATATATCTGGAGTCGAATGTCTTCTAGGGAACTCTTTCGGATTTTTTTTTGCATCGCCCGGCTTCCCTTCGTTTTGCGGCGGCGACAACGAGCCGAGAACGACCGTGGAGATTAAGCGAACAGGTCCTAAGCCTGCCCGAGGAGATTTCGCGCGGTCCTTAAAGACCCCCCAGCTTTGAAACTTCCGAAGCAGCTTTACGCGCGATTCATGGTTACGAATGCGCAGTACGCGGTACACACAAGTTTCGCCCTGGATGCTGGCGGAGCTAAACAAATGCATATCATCAGAAACGATACAACTTCGTCGCGCAAAACTCTGAAAATCCTATTTTGCCACATTTTAGCTTTATACCGCGCGAAATAACTTTTACATTACTTCAGTATTCACGTAGGCTAATATTATATTATTATCACCGTTTTTTTTATGTGTGTTAGGATTTCGTCCTGACATTTCGTATCTAATAATTTTTTTTAACTTATTAATAGTGCCGACTTGGTCGGTTCCGAATGTTTTCCGATGCACGTCGGCAAACCGAGATTATATCGTGCCCTCTTTGCTTTCGCTGTCAGATGTTGTCTAAACGTAACCCTTCCCCTCGATTGCCACTTTCTATCTCTCACTCTCTGTCTCTCTCCAGTGGCATCATACACGTCGACTTATCGACGACAGCCTACTGTAGTCAAGTCACCGAGGGTCTTCGATAGTATCTTCTCGGTGATAGTGATAAGTAAATAAGTCCCGTATTTCAGTCTCGTGCGTGTGTCATATAATCGCCGTGATTAGAACTCGAAACAGAAGCACTCGCGTGCTTCGATCTTCCAATGTCACTTCGATTTACTGGAAAAAAGGTCGCGCGCATATTTTTACAACAAATTATCGTAAGTAGTTACTTTTCGCTTCTGATATCCACTAAGATATTTTAATTTCCGAATATTTCACTTCAACTACAACAAAACAATTATTGCAATTAATAATTATTAAAATTGCTAACATAATTTAATAATATAATTGTCGACGATAAACGAAATATTGGCAAATAATTCGTTACTTTGATCCATCGAGATATTCCGAATATTCTATTTTAATCATAAATAGTTACTGTGATTAATATGCCAATAATTTTGACGCTCTGATTTCCACTGTCGCGATATTACTTGATCCGGCTATACGTGAAGGTTCCTCAATTATTGCCGAGCCAGCTTGATAGTATAAAAAACGATAGTAAAACAAAAACTTATTCAGGCCCGGTGGCCTTTAACGGCGAGACCCTCCGGCTGGCTGCTCGGCGAGAGAACGGGCAAACATCATTACCTCCGAGTTCTGGTGTCGCCGGTTATCCGAGGCATTTGTCCACCAAACTCACCCTCGTTAAGATACATCCGACCCTCCCCCGCGATTTTCACGTTTTCTCACGCCCTGGCTCTCGCGACTGAATGAGAACTTTCCTAATGTGACCGTCACGCGATATTTTCTCGACAAAATGGATATCAAAAGATATTAAAGTCGCAGAAAGGAAATGACAAGTAAGAGAGGAAAAAAGAGAGAAGGAATATACAAAATTCTCAGTCCAAAATAATTATTTTTTCTTCAATGCAAAGTGCTTTTACAGATTGATCTCTCAATTAGCACGAAGATGTAAAAAGAGTGTTAATTATCGCTAAAATCATCAAGCCTGATACTCATGTTCTTTACGAGAATCCGTTAATTTATTTATATTTAAAAATGATTAACGGGATTAATAATAATAATTAATAATAAGAAATAAATAATTACATTAATAATATATTTCTTTGTTATTATTAATAAATTCTGAATATAAAATACGTTGCGAGTCAAAGATATTCGAGTCCCAGATACTCTGACAGACGCGTATACACCTAACTGTCTACACGTGTCACGCGTCTAACGTGTGTTGCGCGAACTCTCGTTCCTCTTTGCCCGACTAAGTTACGTGTCCGGGATTGCAGGGTAAGAGGGGGCGGGAGGGGTAGGTGGGGGACACAGGGGCCGGTGGGTTGTTGCAACTTAACAAGCTTAGCTCCCTTAATCCCCTTGTAAGCCGGCAATGTCTACAAGGGGTCAGCCGTTCGCATGAAACGCATCCGTTTACTGTTCGAGCTTTGTCTTCGGAGCTGGCATTAAAATTCGCGTCGAAAGACCCGCGCGCCGGTGAGAGACGGCGGGCAGAGAGATATCAGATAATTACCGACGCCACGTGTCCCGGGTACCCCTTGCGGCGCGATATTGGATGCGGGATACGTAACACGTCGGTTGCGCATCCAGCTCTAAAGATGTTTAATATACAATATTTAATATCGGATTTTAATACCGAATTCTTTGTCCTTTCTCGTAGAAATGTAGATTACTAAACTATCGATCTTTATCCAATTATTGAAAAAGATTTCAAAGTGATAATATGGATAAAGTAAACGCGTAAGATATAATAGACAGTTGGATAAAGATCGATGATACGAGACACGCGACGTTTACAAGAGATTTATAGATCACGGTGTCGCGCAGAAAGTGATATGGCGAGAGTGACGCGTCAAGCATAAAGATAAAGAGAGACACGTATACAAGGAGATATACGGTAAACGAATCCTCATGGACACACTCACCTCGCTGCATCCTCCCCACTGCCAATTGTTCGGACGTCGCGCTCTCACGCGATTGTCGCAGGAGCAATCGGTGAGCTCGCCTCTGGAGCAGGCTCTCGTGACGCTGTAAGCGACCCCGGCTGCTGATACGGCGTATATGAACGCGGCCTCTCGGCTATCTGCAAAACGCAAGCGGATTTTTTTTTTGTCGCCGCTCACAAGCCGACCACTCTGGCCGGGGTACTTGATGTTACGAGAGTGCAATGTGGGCGCGCGAGCAGAGAGCAACTCCGAGAAGCGACACGCATCCGGCCCGCGCCCGCGCGTCCGCGGGTCGAGCCGCGTCAGGCATCGAAGATGCCCGTGGAGTACTTACTGACTAACATGACGCCGCCGAACACGTTCTCGGGATTTTCCGGGCTGACGGAACAGTTCCATCTCGCTGATCTAAACTGGTGCTGACACTCCTCTATGGCGAGCCTAGCGCCCGCTCTGACTGCCTGCAAGCGTATAAGGCGGTGAAAGCTAAGAATCAAAAGGGACGCCGCTTTTCGGATACTCTCGCGGAGAGCGACGTCTCCCCTCGCATCGAGCACCAGCCGGTGCTCAAACACAAGCGCGCGTTTCCCGTTTTTTAACATCTCCAACTCTCGATTTGTCGATGACGTGCTTTCGTGCATAGCATGTAAAAAATGACACATGAAAGATCCACTTTTTTTTCGATGCAAAATACTTTTATAAATTGATTTCTCAATCTGTAAAGTTCGATACTCGCGTTCTATACGAGAATGCCACGAGAATTTATTTATATTTAAAATTAATTAAGAAATTATTGCCAATTACTAATATATTTATTATAATATTAATAATAAGAAATCAATACATCATATTAATAACATATTTCTTTATATTATTATTATTAATAGATTCCGAATGTAAGTTGTAACGACCGATGTGACAGTGAAAATTGAGAAAATTTTCATGTATTAATTTCCGTTTAACAGTCACCTCTGTTCCTCATTCACGATGTACCTACTCAACTTTCTCTTTATCTCGCCACGAGTATGAGTCACCGTTTAAAAGCACGCCACCACTGAAAATTATCATCTAATGTCCAGCTGCGATAAAACGAATTCCAACACGCTTGCGCAAAAACACGACGGCGCGCTTTAATAAACCGCGGCCACCACGTTAGCGGTAACCATAGTGGATATCGAACGTCGGCGTACATTCCGTGGATCGTTGGAAAGCGATTTAGCTGGCTCTTAATGGGTTTGGTCGCTCGTTAAAAAATTAAACCTCGATACCCGGATTGACATATGAATATTCATGCCCCGGGGCCTCTTTTGTCGGTAACTCACACACTCGGAAAAACGACACCGCGCTGTCGGCGATATTCAAAGAGATATCGTGCCTCGGCGGTTCCCCAGGTTTACCTAGGTACCTAGATAGATTCCTAGACGACCGTCCCCTTTGCCCCCCCTCCCCCTCCCCCTCCCGACACGTTTTGTGCATTAAGGAAAGGTAAACGCGATTTTGGGATGGCGTGAACCGCACGACGTCCGGCTCCGTTTTGTTCACGCGGGGCAGCGGCAACCGAGATCGAACCGCGCGATGCCGATCGGGAAACAAATTTGTTCCGCTTAAAGAGTTCGTGCCTACCTATTGTATCGCAACGGTAAATCTTCGGATGCCCACATAACGTGCGTCCCGTCACGAGAGCTTTCACGTCCCGCAACGAATGGAAGGATTACAATCAGATTTACAGACGGAACCCAGCAAACACCAAGTAACACGCAACTTACAATTTCCTACTCAACAATGTGTTATATTACATGTAACAGTAAGTTACATGTTACTTGGGTTACATGTTTGCTGGGAACAGTCGTTCAATTATGTAAAGAAACGCCGAGTATATATACCCTGATTGTCGCTTAATTTCCTTCTGCGTACAAGGTCGTTAACTCCGCTTCGCAAAAATGGGCAACAATGACGAAATGTTAGTCCGAGAATTCGAATCTCTATAATGACGACTCCGTATATAAATCCCCCGGAGATTAAACACAGATTTCAGAAATTGTCGGCCGCGAGCCCTATAATTCCTCCGTGATTCCTCCGATAATGCCCAGAACTATCTAATCACGACACCATTAATCCGTTTATTACGCGGAGGCGAAGCAGCTTTCTCGGAAGAGCGACTCGACGAAAAAGATTTCGGTCGGCCGAAGGCCGAAGGCCGATGCTCGGCCACGCGGTCGTAGGTCCCGCGAATCGAATTAGCCGCGTGCTTCCCCGGGCATTAATCCGGGGAGAAAAGAGAGAAAGAAAGAGAGAGAGAAAGAAAGAAAGAGAGAGAGAAAGAGAGAGAGAGAGAGAGAAAAAGAGAGGGACCCACCGGGGCCCGCTACGAGGTAAATACCTGCAGGACGGGTGGCGAGCGGGAGCATATTGCCTGCTGCTTGGCGGTCAGGTGCGCGTTCTTACAGTTCTTTTCGGCGCTCGCCGGGCCGATCACACCCGCGCCGGCGATCTGCGTCTGCGAGTCGACACCGCTCCCTTGGATCGGGCCGGATGTCAGCCTCGGCTCCAGCCCCAAGTACCTATAAACCAGAACACGCGCCTTGTAATAACGTAATGACGGTTATATCGGGTGATTAATTTAATTAATTCCACGCCTCATTGCGCACGCCGGGTTTAGGCGTGCCGCTAAATAACGGGTCGTCGCGAATCAACGGCGCAATTGAACCACTGTACCCTTGTCTCTTCTTCGATTTACGATTTACGAGGATGCCAATGGTATCTCGATCGGGGAAGAACGAAACACGCCGTGTCGGTTTTTAATCACTGGTCGAAGGTTGATTATTATCGATAAAAGAAAGATGAGAAACTCCAACGATCACGTTCGATCTCCGCTGAGGATGCGCACTGTTGTTTCATCGCGATCTCTAAAGGGCCAGCGCACGAACATTGCGTCTTACGCCTTACGTGAGAATCTTGCGTTACGCGACACGCAAACCAATCTTACGGCAACGCATGAAGAAAACCGTAATGTAACGTACGTAACATAAGACTATAATTACGTTACGTCCTTCTTTGTGCGTAACGCAAGATTCTCACGTAAGGCGTAAAACGCTACGGCAATGTTCGTGCGCTAGCCCTAACGCGAGCAACCGTCGCCTTTTGATGCCACGAGCCCACCGTCGAATCCAAGGCGAGTCGGCACGGAGAACGTACGCTATCGAGAGAACGCGGTGGCCGACAACTGTGGATCATCTTACGATGAAATGCCTCACAACGATACACAGCGGCGGGAACCGCACGAGCTACCGACACTATACGAGAGAATATACTCTCTCCGCCGTGACGAAACACCTATAATTAGAGCAGGTATTCGGGTGAAAATTATAGAGGGGGAGAGGACGACCGGGGGCCCGAGAGAGGGTGAAACGCGGACTAAGGGGAACGGGTGGGGAACACAGGATATACGGGGAGGACGAGAGAAGCCGTGTAGCCTCGTCGTGAACGAAGTCAGGAGGAAAGCCAAGCAAGTGAGTTAGGCTGCTCGCTGCCTAAACTCTCTAAAACCGTCGACGATCTTACTCCAATTTGTAACTCGAAAACCCCCGTTGTTTTTATTCCTTGCTAATTAATCGAGGAACCGTACTGATTAAATCCGCATTTTCTTGGTTTCTGAATATTTTAGTGTAAATGACAATTCTTTGCTGATTCGATCAAAACGACAATAATTAAGATATCTATCTATCGAATTATATTATTAAAATTACGAAGCTGTTTCGCAATCTTAATTCTTACGTACGCGCGTGAGATTTATTTTTCCTGTAAAATATCGACGTCATAATAATTTTCGTGTTAGATGCAGGCGTTTGAAATTATGGGGTATTTCTTGCGAATTAATTTCGACGAGAACAGATAACAAGATCATACACTATTAAATTTGTAGTAATAAATGACTCAAATTATACCCAATTTGAGTGATTTTTAACCATTCTTGTAAATCGCCACTGTTTCCGCTCAATATGTCGTTAATTAAAACAATGTTAATTTAACTAAACTAATAAAATAATACTTTTTTGTTTTAACATAATAAATTTTGACACATATGGCAGTTAAAAACAATAAAATGTTATTTAACTCAAGATATTGGTTTAAATTTTATCAGTTTTGCTTGGGCACATTTTTGCAACGTCTCACATATCGAATTATATGCTAAAGTTGTTGATCTTGGTTAGCATATAATAGTAACGTGTGATCGTTGATCCGCGGTCGGATTAATTTGCCGATTACTGTGCCGGCACTTACCAGCAATTTCGTTAAATGTAAATCGCCCAGACAACTGCCTCCGGTTTCCTTGCCTCTCGATGCCTTTAAACGCCTAGCGCGTTCTCGTTCTCCTAAAAGCATCGGCTCTGCATTGTTTTCAATTCTTTTCGGCTCGAGGGGTTCGATTAGTAGCACCGTCCGGACATGGGCAACGCTCGTTTACACGGTAAATCTTAATGAGAATCGAGGGTGTGGCTTTTAGGGCTCGGAAGCACTCCCAGCTGCCCTTGGGGCACCAACGGGAAGGAGACGGTGGTCATGGTGTATCGATGAAAGAGCGAGGGTCGTTCGAAAAGTGACTGAAGCACACTCGCTACTTGGAATGATAATCAACGTCATCGATACGCGCAATAACTGGAAATGTAATCGTGTACAATCTTGTATAGCGTATCGTAATTTTTTTCACCCACTTTCGTAGTCGAACACTTTTGCAAGAGATTGACTGTAAAGTCTCAAGTATTATTTAATTTTAGGATAAGAATTATTAGAACACATTTTTGTTGTTGTTAAATTACATACATGTTTTTAAATAAAAATAGTCAACCCGAGCGTTTTAGTATATAATCATGAATTACAAGGCGGACCTCCACCGTCGGGAATAAGCATTTAGAAAAGATCACGGAAGAGACGTTGTAACCACTTTATCCACCAACCGGTTACTTTCGTTCTCATCCGTTAGCCGTTTTCCGAAGCATCCGTCAGTCGTAAAGGAGCCGATGATAGTTCGTCCAGGGGTGCAGCTTTCATATAGGGAACCGGCGACGGTGCGTGTAACGTTTATTATTTATTTGCGGCCGAGAATACAGACGGTGCCGGCATCAGCAGTCAGCAAGACTCGTCAAGGCACCGTCGGAGTCGGGCCAGCTATTTCAGGTTTGTTTGGGTACGGTTTACGGCCCTTCCGAGAGCGCGTTTTACTGATACTCAACGGCCGCGAGTCTAGTCAACCCCACCTTTTCGTCGTTTCGGTGTTATCTTGTGTATACTCGTGAAATGTCGCTGACTCTCTCTCTCTCTCTCTCCCCCCGTAACCGGGATTACCGCCGCTTACGCGAGGCAAGATCGAAACATTCCTAACAGACGCGTTCGATCCCGGTGATGAGCCGGGAGTAACGGCGGGACATGCCACCGCCACCGCCGTTCCTTGCGGTCGCATCGCGAGAAACGGTGTTTGCAACGAGGATGAGCCTCTCGTCAAACAGTCGAGATTTTCTTCCCGGTGGCATCCCGATCGAAACAGTCGTCCGATATTGCGGTCCGTCAAAGTAAAGCGAAATATACACCCTCTATTTCGCGAAGGGAAACACTCGGTATCGATATCCTAAAAGCGCCGAGGAGTGGTCCCCGCACTGTCTTAAAACATGCCCGAACATCGAGGAGACAAATGAAAATAAAATCTGAAAACAGAAATATCTTTTGCAATTGTCTTTTTCATGCATTTTTAAATATAAGACCGAGCGTTGTTGGATAGTGCCATCAGTTTTAACTCCTTGCCCTTTCAATCTATATGAGTCTATCTATAGATCTGTCTTCGATTTTATCTCGTTTTGATAGCACCGTTTCTCTTCAATTCTCGGAAATGCCATTCCGAGACAATCAAGACGAGCGACAGTAACCAAAAGCGTCGTTAGCGGAAACGGGTTGATTGTTCGGACAACCGGTCTAGTTTTGCGGTGGGCGCAATCGATATCGGGCGATCGGTTAAAGCGGTCAAGGACGTAACGGGAAAAAAAAAACGATGGGGAGACCATCGCTTTCTGCTTGCAATCCTTTGTCCCTACGTGCGTGGATTCGCTCACGTTGACTGAAGAATAGATTTTCTCCGATATAGGGATGTTTTAGAGGATTTTTAATATGCTCACACTCATTAACAATATTTTTCACTTTAATAAATTTGTAGCATTTTTTTTTTATTTTCACCCCGTAATCCTTTAAATAAACAAAACATTTTAAAACTTTAAAAAATTTATTTAAACAAACGAAGTCCATATATCACTGAAACTGTGTTATTCCTGAAGAAGCACACGCGGAACGGCTTTTTTAAATCATAGATCCGTCAACCGAAGGACTGTTTTGGTAGAAAACCTGTATGTGCATCAAAATATACACAAAAAAATTACTCCAAGTGCATGGAGACGGACCTCATTGAGGAGAGGAGAAACGCGCGTACAAAGAAGACGAGGGGGTGGCAGGGGGCGATAAAAGAGCAACAGAGGAGAGAGGGTGGAAGCAGAATAATTGCACAAAGCGCCGATATGAAAGAATGGAATCCATATTCAGGTTCGCCTGATGTATCCGGCCGCGCGCGCCGGAGGAGAACCGTCGCGTCGGTCGGGGCGGCTTGCTTTTCTCCCGCGTTCCTATTCACGTCCGGAGAGCGGAAAGGGAACTTAGAGACAAGAACGAGACGGGTAGGAGAGACGATCCCGCGTGGTTCAACGACGACGGCGAAACAACCGCGATTATTATATTATTACTCTCGAAAGCGGGTATCGCGTTGCCGTCATAACCACGTCGGGGCCGCGGCTTTGTTCGTGTGACAGTGATAGGGCCCATTTATGTCGAGAACACTCACTCAATCCGGCCGCCGATATAATGGCCGGATAAATTCTACGAAAGCCTACAATACGTTAGGTACGTCTCGTCGATATTAACCCCCTCCCCGGAAGAGAGCGGACGGGGTGGATGAGGGGGAGGGGGACGACGCGCGGGGGATAACCCATCGGGGTGAAACGTTGGCGTACCGTTGAAGCACGAGCGCCGGCACACGGTCCGAAACTTCGCCTCATTCTAATTAGTATCGATTACCGAAAGGAGAGTCCCTCGTTGCACCACCGCCGCCGCACGTTACGCACTCCTCGATCTCTCTACCCTCGTTGCGTAATGGCAACCGGCGAGGGGGAACGGCGGCGTGTACGTGTGTATATTCGCTCGGGGATATTTGCCCGCAGTAATTTTTCGATCGCGTCAACGGATTGACTTGACCTCCGTTGGATCGTTGGGAAAGTGCGTTATATAGCTGGCTGGAACGGGGGGGTCGACAGAAGGAGACGGACCCACGGCACCCCCCGGGGCGTAACGCTAGGGGGGCGCTAATTAGGGTGGTTAGAGTACAAATGTTGTGGCTGCGCGTGCGGAGAACATTTTTTCAACGTTTTCGGTACCGTGATAATTATATATCAATTTTCTTTTATACCTATATGTCTTCTTTTTTCTCTCGCAAGTACATTATTTATTTTCACGATGATAAAATATAATT